ACCAAAACGAACATCCCCCCCTCGCCCCGCCCCCGCCAAGTTCCTCAGTTCCTCCCAGCAAAGGCCTCATTCTGTTTGCCTACAGAAATATCAATAGCTTTATAAATGTTCCAAGGTATTTTACAGGATTGTTCTATAATTTAATTGAAGCCTCTCCCTCCAGTACCATAGAAAATGACATTTAGTCTCATAATCTCATGTCTTATACGTCCCGCGGTGGAGGGAGAACTTCAGGCCAGACCTGGGTGTTGACAGTCAGAGACAGCTCCTGGTCTGGCCCTCTCTGACCAGGGGGCTAGAACAGCTTTCTCTCCTGGATTTTACAGGAGAGAGAGAGAGGGGAGAGAGAGAGAGAGAGGGAGAGAGAGAGAGAGGCTCTAAGGCAAGTTCTATCAGAGTAAACATACTATGAATGAATGGTTGGGCAGAAAAAGCCTTCAGCCCCCAGCTGTGCTTTTGGTGTTCTTGCCAGTGACATGTCGAGCCTGTTTACGTGGCTGGAAGGAAGAAAAGAAAGTGGCATTTCTTAAAATGATCTGTTAGGCAGTAGGTGCTGTTCTAGATATTGTCACATACATTTAATCATCAAAACCCCCCTACAAGTTAGACATCCAGATTCCCATAGCGAGGAGGGTAAGGAAGCTGAGGATTAGGAGGGCTGAGAAACTTGTGCCAGGCCAGGGGTAGTAAGTGGCAGAGCTGGGCTCTGCATCCGCAGCGTCTGACCCTCCATGAGCACATCCCGCGTGGTGAAAAGCCGGCTCTGTGCCTGGCTATGCTCCTCCCATCCCCACAGCCTAGTGGATTCTGCCTGCTCAGCTTAGCCTCACCTCCTGCAGGAGCCTTCCTGCCCTCAGGCTTTCCTGATCCCTTCCTTTTCTGATCTCCCAGCAAAACGGAATCACCAGAAACGTTTAATTTAGCACTTCCTCACTGTGTGTGTTTTATCTCCTCTCCTTGATTGGCAACAATTTGAAGGGATGAACTTGAGCTTATATTTCTCCCGCACCGGCCCACCTATTCACCCATTCATTTTCTAAGATCACACAGCAATTCAGGAAAGGATCAGGGATTAGATCTGAATTGCTTCTCTGGGTCTCACTGTTAAAAAAATAAAAAGGAGCTAGGCTAGATGGTCTCTTAACAACCCCTCCAAATCTAATAGCTAATTGTTATTAGCTTTGTTTGTGTAATTAAGAACATTTAACTGAACATCTAGTAAATGCCAGGCACTGTTCTAGGCACCAGAGAATATACTGAGAACAAGAAAGTCATACTTATGCAGACACAGAGCCTACAGCATAACGTCTACACCGCACTGAGGTAAGGGCTCTGTAGGGACTAAGTACAGGGTACTAGGGAGAGAGAGGAGACAGCCTCCTCATCTGGACATGGGGGTGGAAGGCAGGGAAGGCTCCAGGAAGACACGGTGAGACCAGATATAGTTGAGCCAAAGAGGAAGGGCATTTAGGGCAGTTGGACCTGCTAGAGACAAAGCCAGAGTGCAGTACTCTGGAAGGACAGCAAGTGAATGAGGGGGGAGGGGAAGCAGGCAGGGCTCAGGAGCCTTCCTGGGGACTTTGGACTTCATCCTGGGAGCAGTGAAGCAACGACGAATTTTAACTGTGGAGGGACATATTTATGTTTTCATTTTATTGCTGATATTTCATTTTTATTTTTTAATAGGAAAAGGACTGTATTTATTGATTATATACATCTATTAAACTGGTATATAGTGGATACTTTAACATACTACACATCATTTAATACTCATATCATTAAAAACTAGCGTATTATTTCCATTTTACAGTTCTTATTCCCATTTTACAGTTGAAGGCATTCAGGCTCAGAATAATTAAGTGATTTTTGTGAATTCATGAAGGAAATAAGTGGCTGGATTCTAGGCCAGATGCTTGCTGCTCGATTTTATAAATGCATCATGCATTTCCATTAATCTAAGTCTATGTATGCAAAACATATTTATAACAATCTTTCATGGACAGGAATAGTCTCTTTTTTGTTATTACTGATATTTAAAAAATATTTTACTCTTTCTTATTACAGAAGTAATGTGTGCTGATTGTAAAAATACAAATATATACCACCTAAAAGAAGAAAAACAGCCCTGTAGGGTCTCATTATGAAATGACGAAGGAAAGGCACAAGCTGAGACCTGGAGAAGGTATCTTGGTGTTCTCAGGCAGCCACACTTCCCCTCAGCAGCTGCTGCTAAGCAAGTGCTGCCATTGACTTCTCCTGCCTCATTGGTACACAGCAGTGGGAAATGCAGTTTGGGAGAGATCAATGTAATTGGTGCAATAGCCTGAAAGCTAAATGCTGTTTTGCTCACTTAGCCCTGTGCTCACATGGGTTGGTGTTCGACATGACGGGGCGGGGGGCGGTCCATGTTCAGGTCCATGGGCCGAGGAGCAACATTTGAATCCTCCACCTGAGAACCTCGAGCTCCACCCCCAGTAATGGTTTCTAGGTCTCACACTCTCATCTAAGTCTGAGGTGGGAGGGATTTCCAGAGTTCTAGCTCAACAGTCTTCAGCACTGGCTCACCTTTCTTGCCTCTGAGATTCCCCTGATGGTCTGATTTCTGGAAACTGGGCAATTGCCATGCTTGTAAGACCAAGGTGGAGCATTAACTAGTTCATTTTGACATTCAACAAATATTTCTTCAGGGCTTTCTGTGTACCCTCTCTCCATTGTGTCTAATTTTGGTTGGATTGTGTCCCCCCCCCCCCCCAATTTCCCCCCCCCCCCCCCAATTTTAAATTCTAATCCTCCCCAGTAAACTCCTCCAAACTCACCATTGTTGTGAAGTAGCATGCATGAAGTATTTTAGTAGGAAAGAGCTAAGAACCTGATGAGTGTGTTGGTGGGAAGGGGTTGGAGAAGCCATTGCCATCAGAACCAAGAGATATCATCCAACAGGTAGGCAAAGAACAAGATTCTTATACCTGCTTAAGTCTCAGCAAGCACTTCAGCCCTCAAAGGGACGTCTCTTCTCTAAACTCAATTCAACTCTATAGACATTATGCCCTGAGGGAGAACAGTGAGGGTGGAGGCACACGGTCTTGATTTCTACCCTCACAGAGCTTGAAGTATCTAGCAGGCCAGGCAAGACATAGACACAAACATCTACCATGCAAAACTGAAAGTAATAAGGGTCATTGAGAGCAATACCTAACAACTGGCTATTAGGTATTACTCTCAAGACATGGAGATTATTTCCAGCCAGGATGGGTGAATCTGGAAGAGCTTTTGGAGAGAAGGTAGCATTTGAAAGGACCCTCTCAGTCTATTCCATCCCCATGAAGTTAGCTTCTCTAGATCTGGTATTGTTCTGAGATGTGACCAGTACCTGGTTTCAGCTGGAAAGGAGGCCAGTGATGTGTGAGGAGTAAATCAAGGTACACAGAGACTAAAGAACTATTTTTAACATCACACAGCTATAAGTGTCAGCTCTGAGATTTGAACCCAAGATGTTAATGTCAGAGCCCAAGTACTTAACCATGAGACTACACTACCCAGGATCTCCCAGACTTGCACTGAGCAACAATTTGATGATGCCCAATACCATTGGATACTACCTCTGGCTGCTGTTATGTACCTGTGGATTTGTAGAGACCCACAATCAG